CCCACAAACTCATACCACCACACACATAAACATAAAAATATATAATATATATATTAACAAAACTCCAAATACAACCCCTCCCCCTTTACACTTGCTCAATTATTTGACCCTCTTAGCACTCCCAATCATACAAGAATTAACCTTTGTCGCAAACCTCAAAGAACAAAGCGTTTCGCCAAAACTCCCAGAAAGAGGACTCACATTAACAAACATGAGCGTTTTGGAATTCCCTCCAAGAGAATTTTGTAATAGGTAGGTTAGCCGCGAGTTTCGGTACGGGACATGTTTGTCCCCGGATGAGAGGGCGGAGATCACGTCGCCCAGGCACGAGAGGGATTTATTGATGGCTTGGGTTTCGCGGAGGCGATCCCCGGTTGAGCCAGAGGAGGAGAGGCGTTCGCTGCCGGCTAGGTCAATCAGGTTGAGGGTGCCAGAGGAGGATTCAGAGGTTAGGGGGTTGGTGCCTTTAAGGCGGAGAGTAAAGACACTATAAAATGGGTGCGTCAAAAAGTGAGAATGACAAGAATAAAGGGGGAGGAGGTTGGTACCTGTGACTACGCGAAGACCGTTCATTGCAGTTGGTAGCTGCAACAGCACGGTTATGCGACGCTTTTCGTAAGACTTCATGAACTTGGGTAGGCGTCTCAACCTTGACTAGATTTCCCAAAAAAAATGTAAACACCACCAAACAAAATCTCATCATCAACACAAAAACAATTGAAACTCACCAGTAACAACATCCGTCACGACCGTCGTAGACCCTAAATGCTTAATCTCATGCTTGCCCTCTTTACCACCAATCAAATCCCGAATCGTCTCGTTATAAATCTCTAGGTACTGCGCTTCCATCTCATACGTCCACCCCTTATGTTCCAGTGTTGTGGCCGTATCAAAGATTTGGTGCACGGCACGCGGGATCATGCCCATTGTATCGGGGTCGTCCAGGGCATGACTGGGGCCTTCCATACTAAGAGTGGTCCATTTTTCAGTCACCAATGTCAAAAAAAGCGACATGTTTTAAAGGGTTTCACATACGTAAAAGTCTTGCCACTCCCCGTCTGTCCATACGCGAAAATGCACACATTGTACCCATCCAATGCCGATTGAACAAGCTGCGAAATTTCTTCAAAGACTTGTGGTTGCGTTGTGGTGGGTGGAAAGACCCGGTCAAAGGAAAACGGGTACGTTTTTTCCACTGTTTTTTGTCCCGAAGCCGATTCCTAAATTTTACAGATTTAACCACATATCAACGTGTTAAAAAGAAAAGTAAACTCACCACAGCTTGTCGTAACTCAATCACTTGTTCATCCCCCTCTGCAAAACTAATATGCGACAAGACTTCATCCGGTTTCTCACTCTTTTCCGCGTCTACCAAAAATAAACCATGAGTACCCGCACCGCGTTATAAACACCTCGTCACCAAAAACAAAACAATAAAACTCACCCAAAGGCGGCCGAACTCGACAAAACACTCGAATATTCCCCTTCAATTCTTGAATCGTATTATGCAACCTCCGTCGCACGGTTTCTTCTTCCCGGACTTTAGCTTCAAGTGCCTGCACAGCAGCCCGGGATGCATCAAGTTGCTGCTCAATGGTCTGGATACGGGTTTCGCGGTCCCGGAGCGTAGACTCTGTTTGCTAAACCATAGAGTGAGGACACGAATTCATAAAAAAACAAAACGACAAGTGTAAACAATACCTCGAGTAAAAGTTTATTGGCCCGACACTCGGATTCAAGCGACACACTCAACGCACTTTGCGTCGAAATCGTCGACTAGAGCCCAAAATCAAAAACCCCCATCACACGCATTGTACAAAACACACGTAAACATACCCTCAACGTAATATTCTCCTCCTTTGCAATCCGTAACTCGCCATCCAACCCCTCTTGCACCTTCTTCAACCTCCCAATCTCGCCCTCCCGCTCCTCAATCTCTCTTGCATGTCGGCTAATCAACAACGCAATCTCATCCTTGTATTTTTTCTCAACACCCTAAACAAAAAGGATAACCCACGTTAATGCACTTTTTGAATCATCTGATACAATAGGTAACGTACCAACAACTCGGCCCGTAGTTCCGTGACTTGTTGCGCAAACGTGCTGTTTTCGGCTTCCTTGACATGAACTTGATTTTCAAGCGTTTGTCTAAACTGAATCAATTCATCGACTACAAAAGAACCAATCGAATTCATCACCACGCTATATACGATTTCAAAAACAATCAAACATCATCAAAAACAACAAAACGTACTGGTCGACCGACTCCTCGACAACTCATCCGTCATATTCGCAATCTGAGACTGAGAATCCAACAGTTGCGACTGAGTTTGATGATGATACTCTTCTAAATCCTGTAACCGCCCCTTGACATCCCACGCCGGTCGCTTTTTCTTGACAGGTTCATCAGAGTCTTTTGGGGTGGGTTTCGCGGGTTTGGATACAGGTTTGGCCATGGTCGAGGGTTTGGATTTCAATGTCGTGGATCGTGTCGTTGTTGTCGTTGTTGTTGGTTTGGTTGGAGCACGGGTGGTACTCGCTCGTGTGGGTGGGTTCCTCGTCACGGTAGTCGTCCGAGTAGACCGGGCAGTCACACTCCCAGAATAAATTGAAGAAGAAGAAGAAGAATCCGTTTTCAACCTCGTGTTACGAGACGTTGGAGGTGGTGCTTCTGTTTTTCGCTTTTGGGGCACGGTGTGGACTTTAAAGTCTTCGGCCGTGAGGAGTTGGTCGGGGTCAACGTTTTGATCACCTTTTGGTGTGAACGAGAGGGGTTTGACCGACATGGGTGCGATTTTGCTTGGGGGTTTGAGACGCCCGATGGTGCGGGGTGTGAGCGGGGGAAGGGAGGTGGTGGTCGGCGGGGGTGGGTCCTGTGGAAAGCACACAAGTTGGCACCTTTTTGCGACTGAAATGCATCCAAAAAGCCACGTACGCTGGGATTCTGATTCGAGTCCATTACTGAAAACTTTGAAAAAATCAAACAAATCTAAAGCGTATATTAGGTTCGTTCCGTTCAACCTCTACACGCTCTGTCGGTCTAAAAACAGTTTCAATCACGTCTTTTGGAAGCGCGGACACGGTTCGGAAGAAAGCCCCGTTCAATAACAGCGGAACAAGTGTCCGGACGCACCTTCGGACATGCACGTGACTCATGGAGGGACACTCGTCAAAAACCAGAAAAGAAAACAACCAGCATTTTAAAACATGAGGCCAGTCACCATTCAAAACAAAACGTCCACACAAAAATAAAAGAGCAGGATATATAATTTCTCTAATTCTTCTCTCAATGACTTCAAGTGACCAGCACTCTCGGCAATTGAGAAAGCAACAAAACTTTTAGGTTTGTGTGTTTATTGTACTGTTTTTTTTTGTTCCCTTTGTCTTATAAACGGAATTAAACACCTCATTTTTCAAAAAAGCCATTACAGTAATCAACGACGACGATGACAATCATGAAACGCGTTCGTCGCAAAAGCGTCCTTTCTCCAACATAGTATCTCGTGTGTTTTCACTCTCTCAAAACCATCAAATCATAGAAGGTGACAACAGTTTGCGGGCTTAGAGGAAAGCAACCACGCCCACCAATACACCAGCAAGTGCTACGGCGACCGACTTGACATTGCGGGATGCGGCACTGAAAATGGGGGCGCTGGTCTCGGTTGGGACAGAGGTTGCGCGAACTTGTGGGTAGGGCTTGCTGGCATCTTCGGGCTTTGCGTACGAGAGAGGGTTTTCCACGTTTCCGTAGCTGGGAGTCTGAACGGGGGCTTCCACGGGCACTTCCTGGTAACCAGCAGTGGGCGTAGCAACGGGGGCGGCAGTCTCCGTTTCGCACTCTTCCTCAGGAGCACCCGTTTCGGTGGGCACGGGAGCACCGGTGGGTGTGCCAGTGGCAATAGGCACGGGGAGCACGTCAGTCGCAACGGGAACCTTGTATTGGTCACCCTCCTCTTCGCACTCTTCCTCTTCTCCTTCCGAAGGCTCTTCTTCCTCCTCCTCACATTCTTCTTCCTCAGGGACAGGAGTGGGCTCGGTCAGTTCCTTTGTTCCGGTGGGAGTAGGAATGGGGGCGGGGACGGGAAGGTTCTCCTCTCCACCTTCTTCGCACTCTTCCTCGGGGGATCCGGTGGGAGTGGGCACGACAATGGGTGAGTTTTCTTCGCCACCTTCTTCTTCACACTCTTCCTCCTCGGGGGTTCCCGTGGGCGTGGGAACGACAATGGGCGAGTTTCCTTCACCGCCCTCTTCACACTCTTCCTCGGGAGCTCCAGTGGGAGTGGGAACGGGCAGAGCCACGGGCAAGTTTTCCTCGCCACCCTCCTCAGCACCAGGGAAGTTGATAGGGAAGTCAGTGGGCAAAGAGACCTCGGGAGATCCTTCGGGAGTACCTTCGGGAGTCTCGCCCTCTGGAGTACCAACGGGCATCTCGGGCGTGCCCACGGGAGTCTCACCCTCAGGAGTACCAATAGGCGTCTCGGGCGTACCAACGGGAATCTCGCCCTCTGGAGTACCCACGGGAGTCTCGGGGATGCCGATAGGCACCTCGTTAGGAGATCCAGTGGGGTTGGGAATGGGCGTTACGCCATAGGTGACGGTGGGCTTGCTGGGAACGGCCGCGGTGGTGGTTCCGATGGGACCCTCGGGGTAACCAGGGAACTGGGGAATGTCTGTAGGGTAACCAGGGGCCTCTGTCTGAGGAGGAGGAGGAACAGGCTGGGAAGTGGCAACGGGCGTTGTCGTCTTGACGGGTTCTTGAGTCTCTTTGGCGGGGGGAGCCGGGTACGAAGGAGGCTTGTTGTCTACGGGTTGAGTCTCTTTGGGTTGCTGAGTCTCCTTGGGCGGTTGCGTCTCCTTTGGTTGCTCAGTCTCCTTTGGTTGTTCAGTCTCCTTGGGCGGTTGAGTCTCCTTTGGTTGTTCAGTCTCCTTGGGCGGTTGAACAACAACGGGAGGCTGCGTGCCAACAGGATAAGCAGGCACTTGAATCTGCTCTGAAGGAACACCTGTTGTGGGAAGAGGAGCAACTGCTGACTTCATCTTGTCTGCAAATCCACCATCCTGAGGACGGGGAATAGCGACCGCACCCGTTGCCAACAAGACTGTAGAGAGAACCAATGCCTTGACCATTTTCTTTGTGTGTAGGGTATGGGAATAAAATGTCTATGAGAGTAAGTTGTCTATGAGGATAACTCCCCTCGTCTAAAGTCTATTGGAATAAAAAGAAGGGGGGAAATGGGACAAGAGCATTATGAATAAAGAACAAGAGCATGGGAAAAAAGCAAGAAAAAAGAAAAACGCCATTTGTGTTGAACAAGTGAGTAAATGATACGCAAAGAGTAAAAAGTGTGTGTGTGTTGTGATTGTCGTTGTGATTGGAGAGAGAGAGAGAAGAAGAGAGAAGAGAGAGAGAAATGCCGCAATGGGATCATGGGAAAGAGAGAATTTCCCTTTTTGTGTTTATAAGAGTGGATGTGCAAATGTTGTATGTTGTGTGTTGTGTGTTATTAGTGCTCTGTGTGTGTGCTCTGTGTGTGTGTGCATGCAATGGGTGGGAAAAACATACAAGAAGCGGCTAATGTTGTTGTAAAAAGAATGGATTTTTGCGCGTTTTTTTCTCTTGTCTCTCTCTCTCTCTCTTTTGTGTAGTGTTTGTGCGGTCGTTTGGCTTCATGACTTGCCGCTTCTCTCTTTGCTCTTATCGCTATATTTCATATTCCCTCCTCCTAGTCCATTACTAGCTCTTTCACATACATGACATGATTGTCTTTATTTAACACTCACAGGGAAACGACATTTCCCTCTTGTTTAGAGGACCATTCACTACCCTTTTATGATTCTTGTGTTTCTTGCACAAGGTGGGCACACAAAATGCAACAGCCATTTTCATTCATTTCCTAGTATATACACACACACACACACACACACACAAGTTGCATCTGAATACTCTTGTGGATGCCCGATTCATTTAAACTCATGCAATTGTGCAATGGCCCCATGCATAGGCCCAACCCATGCAGTGGCTGCGTTTGTATATTTACTTTTAACAGTGCATGATTTAACAGCTGTGTGTGTGTGTTCTCTCTCATACTCTCTGTCTCCCTGTCTCTCTGTATGCGCACAACCTCCCCCCCGGTCGCTGGCCGTTCGTGGCTATCGTGAACTGAAACCTTGTTCACAAGATTTGTATACACACACACATGTTGAACCAGCGCCTTGTCACTACCCACAAATGTTGCTTACATGCGCACTGCAACACACACATTGACCGCCCTTTTGTGCGTTTATACAATTTGAGAAATCTTCAGCCCTGTCCAAATAACCGCCCACAAGGCACGAATAATAATAAAACCTTTTTTAAAGGGCTGAGTCGGAGACATGGCCGCGATCTCCCAAAGCGGTCGATCCCCGCGTGGTTTCATCTTGACCCCTTCAGCCCGCATGGATTGCTGCGCATTTTCCCCATATCTGCCGTGCATTTCATGACTGTGCATTCATGCATGCATGACTATGCCTCTCCTCTAATCAGTTAAAGTTTTTATAGTTTTTATGCCTTTCTCAAACAGCATCTTTTTGTAGACTTTTTTTTTTTCTCACACACACACACACACACACACACACACAAGGACATGGCACTGCCTCTCCTTGCCTTCTCCTTTGCCTTGTCTCCCTCCTCCTGTGTTGCAGGTGAAAGAAAGGGGCGGGGGATGGGAACATTATAAAAGGGAAAAGGACTCGCATCCATTGACAAAACATTCCTCCCCACACACACAACGATTGTCCCCATCGTCGTCGATTTCTGTCATTTGTCGATCATCGGTGGTTGCCACATTAGTATTATTTTATTTTGCTTTTAGCATCATCATACAACCCAACAACAACATCAATAATAATATGTCCTTTGCACGCTTGACAACGAGCGTGTGCTTTGCGCTCGCCGCAATCGGTGCCGTATCCGCCCAATCCACCATTGTCGACCCTGTTCCACCCGCACAACCTACTGGAGCACCTGCAGCACCCGCACCGGGCGGCAATGGAGCTGCCGGCTACCCAAACATGCCCACCGTGTTCCCTCCCATTGACCAAACAGTCATGATCCCAGACAACCTTCTCCAACATCCCCTGGTCGCAGAAGGCATGCGCAAGGTCCAAGCGGCCGTCCCAGCCAGCCTTCTCAACCTCCCCGTCGCAAAATACGTGGGCACACCCACACCAGAGTATCCAGGAGGCGCTGCAGCAGCGGCAGCCAATTGCTACTGGCCCGCCGGCCAATGCGTCCGTGATGTCGCAGCCCAAGGTTATAACGCCGACGTGTCCAAATGTCCAAACCAAAACGATTGGGGAATTACATACGACGACGGTCCCACCGTGGCTCCCACTGGCCAGTTTGACACAGAAGACATTCGCACGGCCCTCACAGATCTCAATAATGCCAAAGCCACCTTTTTCGTCTGCGGAACAAACGCAATCGCGTTTCCCGATGAACTCAAAAAATCTTTTGACGCTGGCCACGAAATCGCCGTCCACACTTGGACACACCACCCCCTAACCTCCCTCACCAACCAACAAATCGTCGCAGAAATCTTGTATACTGAAGCCCAAATCTACAAGGTCATTGGCCGTAAACCCAGATTCTTCCGTCCCCCCTACGGGGATATTGACGATCGTGTCCGCGCCGTCGCATCTGCCCTCGGCTACACGGCCATCATTTGGACTGCCCCCCGCGACACGGAAGACACAACAGCCCAAGGCGCTGATGGTGTCAACAAGATTCTCAACACTGCCCGATCATGGTTCCAAGCCCAACCCGGTTTTATTTCCCTTGAACACGATATCTCTACCACAACATCCGAAATCGCCGTTAAACTCTTGCAAAGCATTAAAGCCGCTGGTCCAGGCTTTCCACTCAAGATTATGCCCGTCGGAACCTGTCTAGGTACATCTGCCTATGCTGATGGTCTTGCTCCCGCTCCCAATACCACGACCCTCCCAGCTGCGACCACCACAGCTGTGCCGGCCCCCCGTACACAGTCTCCCCCCACGGCCACCACTGCACCACGTACCGGCGCGTCAGGTGAAAAGAGTCTTGCCGTGTCGATACAACCTGGTGCTTGGGTGGGTGCACTCGTGATGGGAGTTTTGGCAGTCTTGTAAAAAAAGATGTTGAACTGTTTGTTGTTTACCTGCTTTGGTTTTGTATTTTTTTTCGTTTTGTACATTTGCTAGTTGTATAGCATTGTGGTTTTTTTTTTAATGGATTGGTTGTGGATTAGCGGGTTGAATTTGCTATTTAGAGAAGAACAAAAAATATATACAAAAACCAGTATCTCTCTCATTGTGATTTTTGGTTGATTTATGGGTCGTGACGAAGGATTCCCCATCTAGCTTCTCTCTACATAACAATTTCGAAAAGATCCTACACAAACGTACCATCGGCAAATGGATCTAATTCAATCACTACACCATTGCACAATACCTCCACTTGAATGCCACCATTACATTGACGAAACCTAAATGACAAGTACACTCTATCCCTCATATTACGTACAAGTATTTTCATATAGCACCCACACTTTACCAACCAGCTGAGATAAAAAAAAAGCATCGAATATTTCTTGATCTTATACTGTGTGTTATACCCCGGTCAACTCAGAACATATCGAAAAAGTTTTAAATCCAATAATTTAAAAAAAAAAAAAAATAAATGAAGATTTACAACCTGTAACGATGATGCATGCAGTAGTCCACGATGGCAAAGCTCACAAGTGAAAATCACCTGATGAAAAAAAGAAAAAGGAATTCTAAGCGGGTCAAGATGAGATCAGGAATTCAAGAGAATCCGCTTGTATACTTTTTTTTGCAATAGTTAAGATATCAATCATGCTATATTGCAGGGAATAACCCTTGTACGACAAAAATACACCAAGAGAGAAACCGTGGTTTACAGACATGTACCAAACGTAAGAACCACGGTTCGTTGTTTGTTAGGATATTGAAATGAACAAAATGTAAAAAAAATATCTAAATCGTACAAAAAAACACTTGTATGTGTATCAAATGGGTAAGCATTGTTCCCAAACAGTAAAACCATATTCTGTTATGTGCCATAGAAATATCTGAGTAAGTCCAAAAGCCGGGTTAAACCAAATACAAACAACCGGTTAATTACTCAATACTCGCTTTTTTGCATATCATATTGAATGAATGTAATACCTAATCGTCAATACAGGTTTGCAAGTCTGTTGCTTAAATGTACCGTATTGTTTCCATAGGGGCTTACTTCCGATGTTATTCATCGATTAGGAATGAATTCCTCATGCATAAAAAAGACATTTTTCTAGTTACATATTGTGAAAGCAAGGAATGCTTCCTGCCGTGCCGGACCCTAATGGGCCAAGCAATTGCTTTTTGATCCTTTTAATAGTTTACGAGTTTTCCCCCCGCCCGCCCGCGGGTCCTCCTTGTTTTGAATTATATTGTTGCGAAATCCAGGGAATCAATGTTTGCTGCAACGACCCTTGGTACCCATCACATTACAAAAAAACATGCCGCATATGCTGGCATTTGTCTGTTTTCGTCGGGCGATATAGTACTTGGTCGTTGCCATTCTCAAGCGACCATTTTCTTCCAACCATAAAACTGTCGCGACAAGATTCAGATTTCCAAAAATAAAATAACCCAACTATCCAATACCTCGATCCTGCGCAATTGCCCTACCCTGTTCCCACATAAAGTCCGTGACATGCTTTTAAAAAAACTTGTTATTGTTCCAATAGACATAGATCCGCCATTTACCAATATCCCAAAAACAAACACGCCTCCAAAGTTTCGGAGACCTCCGTCCCAAGGCGCGGACAAACTTGCTATTGTCCAATTAGACATTACCCGTAATCTGATATCCCAAAAATACGCCATAACGACTCGGCTGCTCTCGCCCAAGAACCATGGTAAATAACTACCCATAATACTAATAATAATCGTGTGACAGTTCCATTATCAGAACCGTTAAGCAAATGATTCAAATCATGAGGGTTTTGATGGGATAGTTTTGTCGATATGGGAATGTTCCCTAGTGCCATCAGCAAAAAGTATGTTTTCTTAAATACTCTTGTCCCTTTATCGAGGAACCGTGGGATTTATGACGGTTTGCTTTTTCGTAAAAGGTTTTTTGAGATAAAACACCGCTGGTAGGTAACAAGATGCCTATTTTTTTTAGTCATCTTTTCACCCATTTATTCTTGGTATCCAGTTTGGCTCCAGCTTTCACCACAACGAACAAAAAAAAAAAAATGTCTGACAAAAAACCCAACATCAAGCGACATCTGGTTGTCCCTATTTGGGCACTCCTTCTCGGTGCGTCTCGCATATGTGGGGTAGTATGATACCTACTTTCTAAATGAAAGGACATTTCCGATTTGGAAAAAAAGCATCAACCATTATTATCGGCGGAACATTCTCAACCATTATTGGTGTTCTCTCATTCTTTACCTCAAACGCTACCGTTGACACCATCACCACATCTCTTCGAACAGAGACTATTCAAAGCGTTTATGGACGAGGTAAGACAAGAAACTTGTTTTGTTACATCCAAACAAACGATAAATTAAATCCGATTCTTATGTATCTAGTGACTACCATGCTCTCAAATTGCCAACATGTTCTTGAAGCCAATGGACGTAACCCATACTTGAATGCATTTATACAAAACCCGAATATGACTGCTGCAATGTCTCAGGATTTGCTTCTTGAGCAGCCTCAAGTTGTTGCGCATTTGTATCAAATGACCCTGCAGAACTCTTTTTTGGCAAAGTAAGGTTATTCGCGAACGTAAAAAGTGTTTTTTTTTCGTTATAGAGATCTTGTGTTTAACCTCTTTTATGTTATTTTGTTTTGTTAGTACCGGATTCTTTTTGAATAACTCGGATTATATTGCAAGTAAGATAACCCAGCTTCTCGCAAAAACAACGTTTTCCTTAATTTGCGTTGCTAAATTGGCTATCCTTGCGTTGACGCTGTACATACTATACGACTAGCCTACCCAGGACCCATGAAAGTATACTGGCAAGATAAAAATACCTACAATACCACAACGAACCTAAAGGAACTGTGGTCCGTCGATATCCTAGGCGTCTATAACAACTATACTTTGAATCTTGGCAGCGAAAAAGCTCTCATTAGACGTGACTGGTTTCCCAATGTAAGTTTTTTCTTTGCAAAAGAGTGTTTGTGACAAAAGTTGCCGGAAAAAGAAAAAGCTTACCTATATGGTCTCCAAAAGCTAAAATGGCCTCAACTCGCATCCGCAAACGGGTCCGCCTTTTGGGTTTCCAAAATATTCACACCCGTCCAAAAAACCTTTCTTTTCCCATTATTCTGGTACGTTTTTTAAAAACTCTCTCTTATCCAATCCCTTTTACGTTTTTCGTAACCCTAACCGAACCCCTTAGGCCAGTCTGGTACCAACAACCCTTTGGCACCATTACTCCCAACGAACCCTACTACGCAACCCACTTTATCATGCTCTCCACACGATCCATCGAGTCCATCCTAGCCTCTGTCAATGTCAGCACGAACGGTGTTGTCTCATTATGGGAAAGCACGGGGAGTATGATCGCAGCAAGTGTGCCCGGTGTATCGCAGATTGAAAACAGTCGGCGACGTTTAGTGCTGATCAGTCTCCTCAATCTGTTATTGCGGTAAGTATTATTCATAAAAAAAAAATGGACAAGAAACAGTTATTAATTGTTTATATATTATTGTTTTATTTTTTTTTTGGATAGATGACGGCTCGGTATATTATCAATACCTACGGATCAGTCGCAAACGCACCAGATGACCTCGCCATCACCCTCAAAGCAACCGATAACACAATCATCCTCGTGAATACCCGTTGGATAGTATACGACCGAACAAGAGGGTGCGTTATTGGCAATACTCTATTTCGTTCACTTTTCTCATTTTTTTCTACCCTTTTTGCAAAAAATACCAAAACATTAAAAAAAAAAAATAGGGACGGAGGTGGTTTACGTTGGCTTTTAGTCCTCAGTATCCCCCGTGATGACTTTTGGGGTGACATTACCGGTACAAAAACCAATATCGCCATTGTATGCGGAGTCGTTGCTGTTGTTTTTCTTGCTATGGTGGTGGGTGCTAGTTATTGCATTACGGCACCTATTCGTAAACTTCAAAACACCATGCAAGCGGTACGTTGTTTCTTTTTTTTCAACCTTTCCCTTTGTGTGGGGATTCGCACATGAGGATTTTTCATGACTTGTCTGTTTTTGATTTTGGTTTAGGCAACCCTATTCGATTTCACAGCCCTCCAAAACGGATACATGAACGAACGCTCCCTATTCTCCGAAATCAGCGATATGCAAGATACATTCAACAAAATGTTAACCAAATTCGCTCACGCCATTCAAAATAATAAGAATTTGACCAAAGGGGGTCAAAGTACCAGTGCGAATCAAGCTCCTAACCCATCGTTGAGTCGTGTACATGTTAGGCAAACTGTTTCTGGCACAGAGTCGGCAACTGGGAATGTCTAGTTTTGTTTTTTGTTTTGAAATGATAAAATCGTGCTATCTGGTCAGAGTTGTTTTTGTGGTATTTTGCGAATGATGTGGAATGTCGAGTTTGCGTTCTTTCGAATGTGCTCTTGCGTTTTTTGAAATTTCCCCTTTTCCTTTGCGCAATACTCTCCCCATATCTGGCCGTTTGGAGGAACACAAAAAAGTTAGGGCACATAATTCGTTATATTCATGACCGGAACCCACCGACAAATCCAAAAAAAAAAAAAAAATTCGATCACCGGCCAAAATATCCTTGGCTCCCTATATTTAATCTCATTTTAACCAGCCTTAACAAATTGACTAATCATCCACTCCACCATAACGTTCGAAAACCACAGAAACAAATGTTTCTAACACTTGCTATACTAGTGCTATGCACCGTTCGAAAAATCAAGTGAGTATACCACGAACTAACTCTACATGCAAAAAAACACCATGCGACAACAAAAACCATTCACAATCGACATATCATCTTCTTTTACAAGAATCGTGTCATATCCATACTCAATCTACCCAAACCAACACGCTTCAATACCCACATATGAAATATCATCGTCGTACGAAACCATACAAGTAATGTACGCAAATTAAAGTTACATTCAATACCCAACCATGAATGTATACCTTCCAGCGGCGATGTACCCACCATGCACACACCTTCTTTTCTAAACGTTGTGAATAAGGTTTACGGATGGCTCCTATTCGATTGTCGTATAGTGACTTGAGATTGGAGGGTTCGTTTGCGAAATCCACCCGAATATATCGTCAGATGTCTCCTTATGCAGAAGCCATTGACCGTAACTTTGTATAATTGCGTTGGAGGTATCGTCGGGAGGAACAGGCCAACGAGTCATTGCTACGACGATATCCGCTAGGCAAGAGTTTTAGTTTTAGCTATCACGCCGCAAAGAAACAAAAAGTGTTGAAAGGCGCTTTGTGTCATTTCGTACACTCCATTCTCGTTCGTCAGGAAATAAAAGTATTTCACTAATGGCGCGTAAGAAAACATCAAAACAAATGTCATCTGTTCAGGAAAAGGAAAAAATGAACCTTGCGAAATTTAATTGCTCCCTTCGTGGATTGAACACGAGACCTTTAGATCTTCAGTCTAACGCTCTCCCAACTGAGCTAAGGAAGCTGTTGAAATGTCTAGCAAAATTGGGATTGATATTTCTTGGCACCCTGTGTTTGTCCTTGACACAACCCACATCTTGATGACACTTAGCGTCCTATTTGAAAGATCGTCTGGCGTCGAACTCGAAAAGAACGGCGGCTTATTGTTGTTTTCATTTAATTTAGTAATTGCATTGATTCTGATAGAGAGACATACGGCCTCGGGACCCCTCAGTGTCGGCAGTCGCAGTCCCCTCCTCTATCAGGGTCATACAGCCCTGGTCAAAAGCAGAGAAAGACAGACACACAATAAATCCGTATATATGCCTCAGAAAATAATTACATACTACCCCATCATCATCCTTATTTTAAACATAGCTCGCAGTACCAATTCGGGTATCTTTCACCGCAACCAGCCGTGTGGCGGTCGTACCTGATTTCCCATCCATCGGCATTCCCGACGGATTCGCATCCGGCAATGCAGGTAATCCATACCCCTTCAAAACCTGCTCAATGCTAACCAAATACAAACAAGCAAACGTCATATGAAAGCTTGCAAAGACATAAGCCAACTGATTCATCACGAGACCAAGTGGTTTTTCGTCGAGACTCGGATGGAGACTGGATACGACGACGAGTGTCATGCCGATCCATGACATGATAACCATGACGATCATTGTATAAACCGTTCGGACGTGGAGGTTGCTGGATTTTACGTGGTGTGATGGTGAGGGTTCGATACGAAGCTTTTGAAGGCGGATATACATGATGCTGGAGAGTATAGTATCCATTACGAGGAGATATAAAGTAAATCCCGCGTAAAGGAGGGTGTTGACACGGCGGTATAAAGTCTCCATTCCGGGTAGGTAGCTCTGCAGGATACGGTGAAGTCGGTAAAAGGCAAACCCCATCCCGGTTCCAGCAGTAGCAATAAAAATGACGATCGTTCCCTACGAAAACGACCAAAAACCATAAATACGATAATAACGGATAAAAGAGATGCACGGAGCTCACCAGAAACATGACCCGATTCCAAACTGGTTTATCCCACCTCGTCCCACACAACCCGAATCTCTTCACCAATAAAAGCACATGTACCAAGCAAGCGAAATTGTAACAAACATTCCCAGAAATATTCAACTTGTCATGCGCTTCTCCGTCCGCTAACAACGTCCGACTCGCAATCATGTTGACAATCGTGAACCCTAACATAAACATCTGTTGCGAGAACAAGCCTAACGTAAAGGATGTGACTCGCCGTACAAGTCTTTGGGACGAGTAGCCAAGGTTGCATACTTGGATGACAAGGGCGATAGCGGCCAAAGTGACGCGGATTTCATCGTAAGGAGACGGGAGAATCGACATGAGTATGTTTTTTGCTGTTTTTTTCGCCAATTGAAAGGGTAAAATGTTCCCCCTCCGAAAGCACTCGTCCTTCTACATGCACTGATCGTAAAATGTTAACATTAAGGGTATACGCTAATGTTTAACCTTAATATAGTCTTGTTTTGTTTAGCCCTCATTTTTCACGGCTGACGTGCGCGAGGAAAAAAACAGGTTACTCTGGACCAGTTGAATACTAAATCAATGCAATCGTTGATTATGCAAAGTGTCAGTTTAAGCAAAGGATCGACCCTCCCATTTATGTAACTGACATGTGCCGCACTAACATCTCCGAGCCATTCTCAACTGCTCACATATCATCTCATGGTTCATATTGGTAATTAAAAGGACAGGCCAGAATTCCCTGACACACATTGGTTTCCCCCTCTACGTATTATCAGATAATCAATCAGTACAAATCAGTCCTGGCAAGAGTCAGTTGTAACGTTCGGATACTCTTATTCGACACTTTACAACGGCATGCTCTCAACTATGTCAGGCAACACGCAATTGCGAGTCAATCAGATATGCAACACTAACTCTCACTGACGACGGTAGAGGAACTATACTTGACCTTCATTAATGCAAGTACCTGGACAGTTCACTACGTACATATACAATTCCAAACTGTGACGCCGAACCAGCAGTGAAGGTTTACTAGCGGGCGAGTGGGGTGTAATCGTGGCATCTTACGGCGATGGCTTCTTCACTATCCTTTTTCACAACAGACCCGAAAGAGATTGAACTCGATATCCGCCAAGGCTTGAAAAAAGACTTCCCGAGCAGGACCGATGCGGTTTTATCGGTGAATGCATCGGATTTTTGAGAAAGCACATGAATGGAGTTAGAATTGCACTATGCCGCACAACCGGTGTTTGAAGCATATATAAAATCATGACGCTGCTTTCGACGGCATTTGCTTCAAATAAAGGTTGAAGCACGCTAAATGGATTCTATACCCCTCCATAGGCTGATTCCCTATGCAAAGCGAACATCCAAGACGAAATCACACCTGTTTGCCACGCACTTGAATCTGAACGATATATTCATGTCATCAACGAACGCGGAAAAAGATAAAAAAAAGGATTCTCACATACACTGATCCGGCCTCCCAGAGTCGAACTGGGGACCCTTAGATTGCTAGTTCATTACAGTCTAATGCTACTGCCAACTGAGCTAAGGCCGGTGTCTCCCAGGTGTTGACTGCAATACTAATAAGCTATAGCCACATTCGTGAACGTCGTTCCAAGAGGGCCCATGGGCCCTCCAGCGATGTCTCACCGATGTCTCACCGATGTCTCACCGATGCACACCCCGCAGCCAATACACTCGACAAACCCTCCCTTTGCGACCTCTCACGTGTGGTAACGCTTGATTTCCCACCATGTTTACGACGATTGGGTGAACAAATACCTGTACGTTTGGCCACCATTGCCACACGAAAATGAGTGGAAAAGCTGCCACAAGTGAAAGCCACCACCACAAATTAGATCGGCAATTTGACCTGAACTCCAGGGTTAGAAAAAAAAAGGATGCTGGGATCCACTGTCCCACGGAGCCTGAAGGGATTGCAGGTAAGCGTCTAGATTGACATTGCCACATTGTATTCGGGGGACTAGGTTTTTGTTAGGATCAAAACAGAAACACTTAAAAAACTATCGAGCGTGCTGATCCGGCCTCCCAGAGTCGAACTGGGGACCCTTAGATTGCTGGTTCATTACAGTCTAATGCTACTGCCAACTGAGCTAAGGCCGGTTCATACTCCAGCCAATCTAGTTATAAGATATCCTTTGGATATACCACCGAACAAGGACAGTGCACACACACAAGTTTTCCTATCTAAAAACAACAAGACTGCATAGCGGAGTTGAACTACAAAATATATCTCTTCATTCAAACACTGTACACGATTCGTACATACAATTCACAAAAAATCACAGGCAAAATTATCAAAAACATAAAACAATGAAACAAGTAACTAAGAATACAAAGTCCATCAACGTCCCGGGTATCTAACCTCAACCAAAGTCCAAACACAATATGGTACAACAAGAAAATACAAAGGGACGAAACAATACAGCTAATTGATTATGAGACAACTATTAAAATCTTCCCATATCCGAGACCATTTTGCCCATATGGGTATGCCCTTGAGCTTGCTGTGCCGCGGCTTTGGCTTTGTGCTTGAGGTGAGTGCGCTTGTGCGCCGCGAGATTGTCAGAGCGAGAAAAGCGACGGTCGCAACCAACTTCATCACAAGGAAAAGGTCGTTCACCAGTGTGCATTCGGCTGTGTCGGTTGAGGTGTTCCGCGCGTTTGAAAGATTTGCCACTGATGAATGTGAAAATACGGATTAGACACTGTCAATACAGACAAAATGTGCATGTCTGTCTGTACTTACCATCCTTCGTGTGTGCAAGTAAAGATTTTTCCAGCTGATGAAGCGGAATTGTTTCCGTGCCAAGACTTCATCCTCCTTCCTCGTGCATACGGATGCAAGGGATGATCAGGCGGAGGGGTTGGGAGGCCGGCTCCGTAGCTAGGGTGAGAGTACGTCGCGTGAGGAGGGATCAAGAGCGGTGCAGGAGGGCGCATCATGTGGGCAGGGTGGTGTGGGAACTGTTCGCTTGTGGTGGTCATTTGCATGCCAACGGTGGGGTCCATCATATGAGACACGACGTTGAGTGGTCGACCAAAGGAGCCCCTTGGCCCGGCAGGAAGGCCTCGCCAAATGTGGTACGGGGGAACAGCGTGATAATGGGGTTGGTGTCGAGGTTGGTGTAGGTGAAGGTGAGACGGGGGAATGGTGCCATTTCCAGAGATAGATGCAGCCGGGTGAGGGTAGTGCTCAGAGGTCGTGGCAACGCGGTCAGGGTGAGAATTGTGGTGATGTGGATGGTGATGGTGATGAGCCGAAGCCATCATCCGGGGAACAAAGGCAGCGGAGGAGGAAGGCGTGGAGGTGCTAGATTCATTGTGTGATTGCGCGTGTTGAGATTGTTGGGTAGGTTCTGTAACGGGCCATTCTGACTTGTTTGGGCGACTGACAACATTTGACACCCAATCGTCCTTCATGATGGGAGTGGGAGCCGGAGCCCACTCGCTTTTAATAGGCGGAGAAGCAGACGAATATTCAGTGTGGACCGGGCTAGGAGGAACCGTGATAGGTGTGGCAGGGGAGAGAGGTCTTTGATTTCGGGCGGGAGACACGGTGCTATGATTAGCTGAGTGAGGGTTGCCGCTCGCACCGTGGCTGTTGCTGTTTGATGCCAAATGATCCTTTGGTTGGTAAGCGAGATCGAAGCCCGAATTGAAACCAGACTGTTCGTGGCCGACACTTGCAAAGTCTGCGAAATGAGACGACGAGAGCGGTGTAGGATTCCAGTCGAGCAACGTCGTCATGCTTTGTTTGGGTAGTGTCAACAAGACTTGACAGATGACGTGAGACGACAACGATCGGGATGACAGCCACAGAATAGGCTAAGAGAGAAGGGGGAAACTAGCGTCGAAAAAGGACGACGATGGAATAGGAGGTAACAAGAAAAGAAGCTACCCCAAGATGAAAGAAGCTTTCAATGAATTTCTGTATAGGATCTTGCTTACTACTAGTAGGGCGAGGCTGTTAAGATGCCGGGGGGGAAGAGGAGGAGGAGGGAGGTATAAAAAGGAGAGTGTTCGAATGGGAGGGGAGAGGAGTGAAGGGGGGAATTAAATTGAGAATGACCTTAGATATAAATCAAACGCGTGGGAAAAAATCGAGGGAAGAGCAAAGGGGGGAGGAGGCAAAAAGCGTGTGTGGTTCATGCATATGTCATTTAGGCGAACCTTCAAAAAGCGAACGCATGCAACACACACACGCGCGCCGCGTGATGATTATTACCGTTCTGTGTGGGTGTGAAGAGCCGTACGCAAGACAGGTCTATTCGCACATTCATTCTCGCGCGCCAAAAAAAAAATAAAACTGATCAAGAAGCGATCGAGGAAAAGAACGATGTCTTCCGAGCTGCTTGGTCCCTTATCCCAACCAACCGCTGCTCTACCTTTCTTGTCGATTTGCCCGTCGTGCAAATTGAACATTGTTAAGCCCCCCCAATGTTGGGCGGGACGAGTGGATCTTGGTTCGCGCCAGCCGGATGCAGTTTGTGTGGGCAAAAGGAAAAGACACACGTACAGCCCACGGCAAATTGACAAGTTTAGATTTGGAGGCCAAATAGGAATAATACGCAATGTCCTAGCAGCTCCTAAAACGGGATAAGGGACTCCGATGTAGCGTTGCCCAGTACCAGTTTGTCGGTTCATCTGAAAATTGTTTTTTTTCCTTTCGCTAATTAAAGGGTTTCTTGCGATGCCCTTTCTATCATTTCATTTATCCATAAACGTGCAGAACCACGCTATTCGTGTTATCATATTGCAAAGGGTCCAGTGTATCCATTTTGATTTGTTTTCTTGGTGCCTCAAATTTCGTCGCTTTACCACATATGGGCAATGCGAACCAATTTAGCACGAGGGAAAGGTGGTGATTGAACGGAGGGAAAAAAACCAGTTTGCGTATGCATGTGCGCACTCGTTTCCTTGGAAAAGTATACAAGAGGCCTCGCTGCCTAGAAACAAAAAACGTCAAGCTGAAATGTGTGTGGTATGATGGGAATAGAGATTGTTATGATGATGGTGGGGGTGTGGCAAACAAGGCAGCGGAGAAATTGTAAAACTCGGCCATCTCTATTCACGAGAGAGAGAGAAAGAATTCAAAACCAGTGAAGCCAAGCCAGACACCTGGAGGCGCAGGAAATTTGAACACTGCGACCAGGCCTGTGGAACAAAAATAGACACTGGAAATTAAAAGTTCCAAATCTCTTTTTTGCTCAACTTTCTTTGCTGTTTAATATTTCGAAAAGGGGAGGAGTACGTGTGTTTTTGACTTGATATTGCACATTACGTCCTTTGTTGTGCGCCAATTCCATGGTTGGAAAGTAGACGAGCACGGATTGCGGCGATTAAAGGAATCCACTCAAAGAGGACGATCAGTCATCGCCGTTCCCATCACAAGTTGGTTTCAAGATCCGGGTAAGTGTTGCACCGAATCAAGATATGCGCAATGAACACTGCAAACATGAGGAGCTTGGCAGCGTTGATTTTACACAGCCAAGCTTAGCCTGCACACTAAAACATTGCACATGCAGTCGTGTCCACAAATGAAATCACACCGGAGGGTCACGATCCGTCAAAAGCGCTCAACTTGCTGGACAATGAAATGACTTATGCCATTTGACCGAATTAATGGGTGGACATCAACGTAATAGCATGTCAACCTCAGTCATCAGGCGGGATTTTTTGGATTCTTTCAGCAAGTTTGAACATCTGCCAAGGCTCGGATCGCACCCGGCCTTAGCTCAGTTGGCAGTAGCATTAGACTGTAAGATATCAGCGATCTAAGGGTCCCCAGTTCGACTCTGGGAGGCCGGAGTAGTTTTAATTCACTGTTTCTTTTTGCACGGAATATTTATTCCTAGATGTTGAAACTACTCGAAATCACGCAAGCTCTGTGAAGAAACTGCACAATTGAAAGGGGGGCATGTTGTCACCAAATCCCAGTTAGATTATATAAAGGTTTCGGAGCCAGTTATAAAAAATA